CATGAAACAGATCAACAGCAACATGAAACAGATCAGCAGCAACATGATGTGATTTTTCACAGTGATTATTCTAGTTAGATATTCATGAGTCTAACAGCCTCAGGGTAGAAGCTGTTCCTCAGTCTAGTGGTTCTACATTTAATGCTCCTCAACCTCCTTCCTGAGGGGAGCGGGGCAAAAAGTGTGTGTGCTGGGTGAGTGGGGTCCTTCATGATGCAGGTGGCCCTCTTCCTGCATCTGGAGGTGTAAATGTCTGTGATGGTGGGGAGGCTGACTCCAACATCTTCTGTGCAGCCTTCACCACTCTCTGCAAAGCTTTTCTTTTTGCAGCTGTGCAGCCTCCATGCCACACGTTGATGCTGGAGCACAGGATGCTCTCCACTCACCCAGCACACACACTTTTTGCCCCACTTCCCTCAGGAAGAAGGTTAAGGAGCATTAAATGTAGAACCACTAGACTGAGGAACAGCTTCTACCCTGAGGCTGTTAGACTCATGAATCTAACCAGGATAATCATTGTGAAAAATCACATCATGTTGCTGCTGATCTGTGTCATGTTGCTGCTGATCTGTTTCATGTTGCTGCTGATCTGTGTCATGTTGCTGCTGATCTGTGTCATGTTGCTGTGTTCATACTCATCTCCTCACACAAACTCATGTTTGTGCTGCAGTTCGCCGTATTGTTTTGATGCTACTAATGCATAGAGTGTTTTTAGTTAAAGTTTTTCTTCATATCTTAGATCTTATTGCTGTTTTTCTTTTACAATTTAATACTTTGTTGGATGTAATTGGGACCCTGTGCACACAATTTCATTCCACCCCATGCACCACATGTGGTGGAATGACAAATAAAGAATCTCGAATCTTGAATTGTGAATGTTTACTGTTTCAACCCAACCCATCTTTATGTCATCATAATTATCCAACAATACACTCCAACACATCAAAATTGTTGGACTTCTCCATCCCGAACCATGAATGCTGCCAAATGTATTTCGAAAAATTTTACTTAAGTCAAAGACACAACAATCATCAATATGAGAGAAAAAAGTGCAGATGTTGTTTCTTACTTTATGAATTTGCTGTTTTGCTCAGTCTTCTATTCTATAAATACCTTTAAATGCACAAGGGAAGGTTTAAGTTCCAAGGATTTAAATTGCCTTTTTTCATCTCCAGCTGCTCAGATGTTCTCTTTCCACAAGCTTGAGATAAATATGAATCTCTTGTTTGGTCATGTCAGTTAGCCTGGATACAAACTGTCACCTCCTATTTACATTTATCACAAGTCATTCTGACAAACATCCATGTTCTGGTTTCCCCGAGTCGTTCTGCCACATGGATCAGTGTTTGTTTCCAGGGGCCCTGAGAAGGCAATAAAAAGGGGCCCCGGAGCGATCCCCACTGCACAGACAGCTAGCAGTTATTTCACCCTCTCCAAACTGGTCCCATCATTGTGGCTGGAAGGACTTTGATCCTGATTTGACCTTATACAGCCATTCCCTCGGGTTGAACGACCTGTTTTCAGGTCTCTCTTGTAAATGAGTCCTGGAGGCTCAATGGGATTAACCTGTCTAAATAAAGGTTGAATGAAAAAAACAAAAAAGCATGAGGTCTAGTGTTAGTAGAGGCTAAAACCAGCAGTGTGTCCAGACTATTGGAGCTGCTTACAGCTCTGATCCCAACAGGTGATATGATAAGTCTACTGGCAAACAGGTACGTATATTTCGGACTATAAGGTGCAACGGATTATAAGACACATTAAGTGAAACAAAACAGATCAGTTAAACTTTATTCAACTCATTCACAATAACTACCTAAAATTGGTTTGAGGTCAGTAAGCACAACCAGATAACACATAAGGTGCACCTGATTATAAGGCTCACTGTCGATTTTTAAGAAAATTAAATGATTTTAAATGCACCAAAAAATATGGTAACTGATAAATGGACTGTACTTATATAGCACCTTTCTATCTAGTCAAGACATTCAAAACATTTTACAACACAATTTGTGCCCAGTTACCTCACACATATTCATACAACCTACTGCTACATCTCTACGAAGCTAGTCTGAACAAATCAATTTATAGAGATTAATCAGAGCTTTAGATCACATTCATACACTGATGGGACATACTTTGGAGGCAATGAGGGATTCATTGCCCAGGGACACTTCAACATTTGACTGCTGCTGGAATCAAACCCCCAACTCTCCCATTGGAGGACAACTACTCTAACCACTCAGCCACAGCTGCCTCTGTCTCACACTATAACTGCAGATAAATAAAAGACAGAGTGCATCACCAAATCAACATTTTAATTTCCATTTAAGAAATGTTCAAACACTTTAAAAACCCACAAACCAAAAATACACAACAACCCAAGTCATTTACAATGTTTGTTAGGGGAACTTCTCTGTGCATGAAATTATTTATTTTCAAGGGGGAGTCATGTCCCACCTGTCCATGTGGACCACCTGTTTTAGATGCACATACAAACATTAATTTGTGAAAGTTTCACCAAATGTGAACCAAAACATGTTCAATAGTTCCTGAGATATTTTGTTAACAGACAGTGCTGAGACCAACAATGGAAGCTAAAGTTTAATTAAAAAATACTGAGCAATGTATAGTGCTCAGAGTACGTGTTGGAGTTGATGCTCAGCTACTACCACAACAGCTATTACTCAGTATCCATACAACTGACTGAGTTATAGTCATTTATGTGTTTGCTAAGCTTGCTTAGCTGTGACAGCCATCTTTTGTGGGTTTGACCTAAAAAGGTGATACTCAGATGTACCTCCAGTAATTATATTGCAAGAGTTTTGCTTTGTATCAAAAATTGTCAACTTTCAACAGCTAATAAGATAATCTATTTATTTGATGTGACAGAGTCAGAGTTTTTAATGATATTCTTATGGCCAATGATTCTGGTGAACATGTGGTTCTTGTCCTGCTCGATCTAACCGCTGCCTTTGATACCGTGGACCATAACATTTTAATATCACACTTACAACACCAAGTCGGTATCTGTAGTACTGCACTGAGCTGGTTTAGGTCCTATCTAGCAGACAGAACCATGTCTGTCAACATAGCTTGATCTGAATCCTCCACTGCTCCTCTGTTTTGGGGTTCCACAGGGCTCTATTTTAGGTCCCCTGCTTTTCGCCCTTTACCTGCTTCTATTGGGATCAATCCTTAGAAAGCATGGGATCATTTTTCATTGTTACGCTGACGATAGTCTGATCTATATGCCACTAAAAAAGAAAGATGCCCCCTCAATTAGGCCACTTCTGTTGTGTCTTGAAGACAAAGCCTGGATGTATTTAAACTTCTTAAATTTCATTGAAAATAAAACAGAAGTGATGGTGTTTGGTCCTAGTGGCTCCTGTGAACCTTGCCCTGTTGATCGGGGCCCTCTGGCACCACATGTAAAGAAAACTGTTTCTAACTTGGGTTTTAAAATGGACAGTGATTTTAAATTAGATTCCCAGATTGGAGCGGTGGTCAAGACCAGTTTTTATCACCTCAGACAGCTGGCTAAGGTAAAGCCCATCCTCACAAAACAGCAGCTGGAAACAGTAATC